GGAATAAAAACCTAAACCAAGCATTGTTTACTTAGCCTCCTGAATTAACACCTTATTGAGGTAATTCCCTAGTAACCCAAAGTCAAAAAGTAAGCAACTTGGGCTGTGATTCCTTTACCAAATACCATTTTTGCCTGGGGCCTTTGCAACACTGTTCCTGCCCTAGCATGGCATTTTCTCTTTTGAATAAGGATTGTTTGTCTTTCCACCAACTTATACTTGAAATGATAATATAGCCTGTCTGTTTGCTGTGTGAAGGCTGCAATATATTTTTATAGTTGTTTGGTCTCACAATAAAAAAGTTTTACTGCTCGTCCCCCCATCCCAGCCCCCACCCCCTTGCTGTGTCATGGGAACTCATTTCTTTCAATTTACATGAGCATGATAGCAATACAATGGGAAATTTAGAAAAGTTAGGTGAGAGTAAGAGACAAAAGAATAGCTGCACTCATAGAAACTGGAAGGTGATACAATTGCACACTCTGAAACCCCTCAAGAAGAGAATCTAATACAAAATGAATGAGGTTGGCAGAGTCTACAGATGATTGGAAGATAACAAAATCAATTCATCTATGGAATAATATAACTTCAAACTCATCTTGAAAGAAATCTGGCCGACAAAGGACTATGCACAAGAAAAAGTAGACTAGTCAGATCTGCAAAAAGTCAGATATTGGTGTCATTAGACAAAATATGTTTAATATGTTGCTTTTTAGAAAAGAGTATTGATATGTAAGCAAAGAATAAGAACTATGAACCATCACACAACAGATTTGGAAAAAATAGAAGTTAGGAATTAAAATGTAAAACCTTGGTGGATAAGGGACAAAGCTTTTGGTTTGAAATTAAAATGTAAAACCTTAGTGGATAAGGGACGGGATCGCTGTTGGGAAGACGGAGGCCAGCAACTTGGAATGGTGAGCTGAGTAGGTCTAGGTTCACTCCATCTGTCAATGAAGCCTGGGCACTGGGATTTCTCTGTAAGGCTCTCGTATTTCAAACCTACTGATCCCACAGCAGAAGAAGAACAAGAAGTTGACAGAAGTTCTGGTGTGCTACTGCACAGTAGGTAATTATAGATAATCATGAGGTACCATGTATTTTTTTAAAAGCTAGACGAAAGCCTTTAAAATATTCTCATCCCCCCAAAAATGATAAATGTTCAAGGAGATAGACCACTTGTTCTAATTTGAATGTTACACGATGCATATATGTATCTAAACTTGTATGGTATACCCTAAATATGAGCAATTTTGATGTGCCGATAAAAAATAAATTTAGACCAAAAGTTGAGATCTTAAAAAGCATTCAGAAATGTTTGACTGCTAGTGCATACATGGATCCATTGACATTTGGGAGGTACACCTTGAACTGAAGCACGTGTTATGGTTTCAGTCTAAGATGTTCCCCTAAAAGCTCATGTGCTAAGCGGTGGGATTTTTGGAAGCAGTTGGATCGTCAAGTCTCTAACTTCATTAGTGGCTTAATCTATTGATGGATTTATAATTGAATAGCATTATTGGGGGCTGATGAAGACTTAGGAGATGGGGCCTGAGTGAAGAAGGGAGTGGGTCGTGGGGGTGTGATCTTGAGGACTGTATCTTGTCCTTTCCTCCGTGGCTCTTTCCCTCATTTTCGGCTTCCTGACTGCCTTGAGGTGAACAACTTTGCTCCCCCACACCCTGGCACCATGATTTTCTGCCTCACCACAGGCCCACAGCAATGGAGCCAGCCAACCTGGACTGAAACCTCTGAAACCATAAGTCAAAATAAATATTTCCTTCTTTAAATTGTTTTTCCCAAGATTGCCACAAGTTCAAGGCCAGTCTGGGCTCAGTAGTGAGTTTAAGGCTAGCCTGAATTACACAGCAAGACTGTCTCAAAGCCAAAAAAAAGACAAAAAACAGATATAAATGAAGCCACTCCAATAGTAGGAAATATTGAGGGGAAAACTCTTCTATGGAGACTGATATTAAGTTGAAAAGTCATGTGCTATGTCCTGTGAACGCACTCCTTTCGATTTACACATGCATGATAGCAATACAATGGGAAGCTCTTTTTTAAATTAAATTTATTGGTACATTTTAGGTATACATAATGATCACATTCATCGCTGGGAATTTGTACCTGTACATGATACATCTTGGTTCTTCTTCCTTCCCCATTCCCCTGGCCTCCCTTCAACCCCTCCACTCCTCTCTATTTACAAAGACTGTTTCCATTTTTTCATTTTCTCATATTTATTCTTTTCCATTCTTTCCTTTCCCCTACCCTTCCCACTTCCTCCTCCCCTTTGGACCTTTTATTCTTATTTCACAATATCTATTAATACATTTTGATCCTTATTTACACTTTCAGTTTCTCACACCAGAGAAACTATTTGGTATTTACATGTGTGTGTCCTATTTATTTCACTTAAGAGTATGGCCTCAATGTGCATCCATTTAGCTATAAATGTCTCTAGTTTCTCATTCTTTATAGCTGAGTACTACGCCATTTTATAAAGCACATACACACACACACACACACACACACACACACATCTTCTTTATCCAATTACCAGTTGATGGGTATTTCGGCTGTTTCCAAGATTTAGCTATTACAAACTGTGCCACTATATCACTGTGGTATGATTCTTTTAATTCTTTTGGGACTATACCCAGCAGGGAGTAGCTAGGTCAAATGGGACCTCTCATTCTAGTTTTTAGAGGAATCTCCACACTAACTAATGAGAAGCTCTTTTAATGAGGATAAAAATAATTTGACCACAGGGACATTAGTGAAAATTCAGAAAGCATTTTCTGGATCTGGAAGTCATTGTCATGCATAGATAAACCACAGGCAGTCATTAATGACGAATGTGGGGGAATGTAAAATTAAATGAAACCTTTTATATACAATATAACTCAAAGCAAAATCTTTTTGAAACTAATGATTTGAGTGTGAGTGAATCAAAGGAAAAGTACCAACATCATACTGGTAAAGATGTAAAAATCACTTTCTCACCACAGCCAACACAACACTTTGGTAGAGATGCAGCTGTAATATGTTACTTAACTAATGACTGTCCAGCTTCCTGCCTGGAGAAGGTAACCAAGTCGCAGGTAGGGGAGCCCAAAGAAAGCCTGGCAGTCCCTCTGAGTTCAGAGAACAGAACGGAGAATTCAGGGAGGCCAAGGCAGGTAGATTCATAGTACCAGAGAGGAAAGAGCTATGCAGAGAGCTCCGGACTCCCCTGAGTCTCCATCTGAGTATGACAGAGGACCTGCACAGAAAAAATACCAGGGTTGGAAAAATAAACACTGGGGAGCAAGCAAAACAGTTTTGGAGCTTGCACATCCCCAATAGCCAGCGTGGAGAAACCTTTTTTGGATCGAGGGTCCTGCACTTGCGAGGCAGGCAGTGGAACCACTGAGCTAAATCCCCAGCCCCTAGAAACCTTTTGATACATCTAACAAGGTATGGAGTACCAAGAGAAGGATGACAGAGAGGCACAAGGAAACTAATGCAGATGATAGTTCTGCATGATAGTTCTGTGGTGATGGTTTCACTGGTGAATGCATGTATTAAAGCTCATCAAACTGTATACTTTATGTAGGTATAATGTATTATATTCAGCTACGTGTTAATGATAAACAAACATTACATCATTTCCACTCTTCTCAAAGGAATTCTATTGAGCAGGCAGGTGTCAGGGTCAAGTGCCTCAGAATCTTTGTGAAAGCCATATGAAATCGTGTGTGAAAGTGTTTGACAGACTTTGAAATCATAAACAATTGCTAGTTTATATTAGGTCATAGTATATTTTGATTTCTTTTAACATTAAGAATTAACTAGTCTTTGGAAGGGTTGGTGATTCCACAGGAGCATTTTTATCATAAGTGAAAGTTTCTCATATGACAAGCCTGCTAGAGTTGTTCTAGGCTATAGCTAAAAAAAAAAAAAAAAGAAAAAAGAAAAAAAGAATCCTTACATTGTTTCAAGATCATCTTAAAATGGCTACAGTTACGTGGGATAAATATCCCATAAGTGGAACAACCTCTAGCCTAAGTCCAGCATACCCGTTAGGGCTAAGAAGTTATTTCTTTCAGCCTCAATGTCACCCAAATACACCCCTCAAAACTTTGTAATTTCACCCTTTCATGGAATGGAAAAAACGGGCTATCTTTTCTTTTTCTTGTTTTCTTTGTATTTTTACCTTCTACCTTCTGCTGTTCTGTGCCCACTAGCAGTGTGTTCCTAAATATCACTCTAGAAAAAAAATTTTTAAAAAGCACAGTGCTATTTTCCTGTCAAATTATTTTATTATTCCCTTCCTTTAAAATACCGACATTTAACAGTTTCAATTCACAATGTCCAGCTTCTAGTTAAAATTTCTGGACATCGTAGAAGGCAGGAAAACATGGCCCATAATTAGGGGAAAATGAAACAGACACTGAATGGAAAATAAACAAGATACAGATACATCTGCTGACAGATGGCTGTGCCGCCCTGGCTTGGCCTTGGGCGTTTTCTTAGACATTATCTCAAGTAAAGCACATCAGCCCTAGATCTCACACGATCTAATAGCTGCAGGCCTCAACTTCTCAGGCTGTAGAGATTGCTCACCAGGTCGTTATAACTGGCCGGGTTCTGATTTTTAATTATGTCTGTGGAAATCTGAGCGAATGTGACTACTGGTTTTTATATTTTCAAACAGACAAAACATTCCTCTGTACTGTTGCCCTCCCTCCCTGTGCTACCCAAACACAACCTCTTGGGCATCTAAAGCGAAAACTGTTAGGGGCGTTGGGGAGGAAAAATCCCTGCTGCTGCCCGGTGTTTCCTTACCTAAGCATGCCCCTTGTCTGGAATAATCACAGGGATTTGTGCAACGCCCTTCTCCCAGCCACCCCACCCGCAAGTGCCAGCTCACACCTAGCAGGCTTGGAACAGCCCTGTGGGGCGGGGAGGAGCCGCCAGCAGGCGGGGGAACGGGGAGCCCAGCGAGCCCCCCTTCCCTGGGCCCCCTCCTTGCGGCTCCGCCCCGCCCCGGCCCTGTTCGCGCGCCGTGCTGATCTTCGCCGAGACCGGGAGAAGGCCGGCTGGCTATGCCTCCCGCCCGCCCGCAGCCTCTGGGGAGCAGCCGGGGGCCGGGGGCGCCGCGCCGTGAGGCCAGGGCCTAGCGTCCGTCTCGCCCCGCGCCCACTGCGGCCGCCATGGCCTGCGCCGCCCGGGCGCGCTCGGGAGACCGGGCGCTGCGCGGGCTGCTGCTGCTCTGCCTCTGGCTGCCGAACGGCCGCGCGTCCGGGCCGCCGCTGTCCGAGCTGCACGCGCAGCTGTCGGGCGTGCAGCAGCTGCTGGAGGACTTCCGTCGGCAGCTGCAGCGGGAGCCGCCGGCCGAGGAGCTGGAGCTCGAGCTGCGAGCGGGCGGAGGCCCGCGGGAGGGCTGCCCGGGCGCGGGCGGCGACGGCTACAGAGCGCTCCCGGACGCCATCATCCGCACCAAGGACTCCCTGGCGGCGGGCGCCAGCTTCCTGCGGGCGCCGGCGGCCGTGTGGGACTGGCGGCAGTGCGTGGCGGCCTGCTGCGCCGAGCCGCGCTGCTCCGTAGCGGTAGTCGAGCTGCCCCCGCGGCCCGCGCCCCCGGCCGCCGCGCTAGGCTGCTTCCTCTTCAACTGCACGGCGCGCGGCCGCAGCGTCTGCAAGTTCGCTCCCCACCGCGGTTACCGCAGCTACCGTCTCCGCCGGACGCCGGACGCCGAGCAGGGCGGCCTCGGACCCGGAGCCCTGGTCCGGGCCACCTCGGGGGCCTCGCCAGAGCTGGGTAAGCGCGCTCGCGCTGGCCCGCGAGGGTTCCCGGTTCAGCCGGGCCCCTGTCCAGCCGGCAAGCGTCACCTGTCCACCCCGAAAGGGTCCCCCTGTCCTTGCACCTATCGGGTTGAAGACCCTCCTGGACAGGACCGCTGGGCTTCCCTTTCTCATTGCAAGTTATATGGGCTGCAGGTGACCAGGAAAGTGGCCTAGGAATGGTGCCTGAAAACCCCGGTAGATTGGCAGCAGTGGCTCAGTGGGCTGCTGCTGAAATTTTTCGGGGGGAGGGGTGATCTGAGAGATTGACCGAAATTGGACTGTAAGAGGAAGAGAAAAGCTCAGACAAAAAAAAAATATTTTTCGAGTCCCAGTTTTCTAATGCATGGTTTTTTTCAGGTAATTGCAAGAACAAAATCTAATTAGATGTGAAATTGCTCCTAACACCCACTTCTGTCTCTTGTCAGGGCAAGAGATGTGGCGGTTCATGATTCTGCTTCTTTAATTTGGCTTCATCAGGCAGAAAGGAAAAGTACCGTTCGATTTGGTAAAGAGTGGAAAGAAGGGGCTTGCTTTTGGATGAAAATAAGAAGGGTTTGGGGCATGTCTCTTTTTAGAAGAGCTAAAAACAACGGCGATTGTATGATTTTACTTTCTGAGGGTGCTGTAAATGAGTCGGGACACAGGGCACAAAAAAAATTCTCACAGTTGGAAATTGGTGTCGCTGAGAGGATGAGACCCTTGACTGAGCTCCCTTGCGGTCAAGCTCAGTGTGTTTCCTCATCCTGGGGGTGCTTGATTTATAGTGACATGAATGACATCATTAGAAAGATCAGGGAGCAAGGTACCCTCGGCCACTTCCAGCGTCTGGATTCTCCATGAGGATCCACCCAGAAGGGTTAGGAAATCTGTGTCTGTGACGCCCTGACGCCCTCTCCTACCAACACCTGAGCGAGGCTCAGAGTCACAAGGCTACCCTGCAACAGCTTTGGGCCAGACACTGGGAAAGACCCTCGGGTTCCGTTCTGAAGCTGAGGCAAACAGCGCTTGCACTTGGAGCCCCACCCCCACCCAGCCACCCGGAGCCCTCCCCCACGATTACAGTACCTACCCTTCCTGTCTGCCCAAACGGGAACCAAAGTAACCCAGCAGCAAAGAAACAACTCTTCTTCCCCTTGTTCTCACTACTCATCTGGAAGAAACTAACGTTGCCAAATGAGCTTTCCTGTGTAAACCAAGAGAAAGAGAAATACACAGGGAAACTAACAATAGCAGCAAGTTTGGGTTGCAGCAGTTTTCCAGTCGCTTTTTCTCCAACTCCCATCTTTGTCCTTCCCTTCTGTAGGGAGAGTTTATCTTGGGAATTATGTTCTGTACATATCTTGGGATAAGAACAGGTGACTGCTGGTGGTCTCCTTTGTGGGAGAACCGTTCAGCCTTCTTCAGGTCCCCCGCAATGTGGAAATGCTGAAGGGAAAGCCCCAGTGCAGGGGCTCCCACTACCTATTCTTCAGGGAGAGTACAGGTTATTTATTTCCCGGTGTTCTGGGTTTCCCTTACCCAGATGTTAAACCTGTCAGAGTTCTTTAGGCTTCTCAGACTTAAGTTTTACCTTCTTGAATTCTTTTTATCCCGAATCCTGGAGCATGTGGAGTTGGAAGCTCAATGAGAGTGCAAATGTTTGTTAGAGAAGTTGTTACAATGTCCAAATAAAGGATCACAAAGAACTAAGGCAGGATTGGATGGGATACACTAGCACAAATTTATGGCTGAACCCATGGGCCTATTTATTGCCCACATTTATTGGGTTTGGTGTGAGGAGCCATTGTAAATGCTTTCTATGCATGAACTCATCTGTCCTCACAGCAGCCCAGAGATCCAGGTTCTGTTATATCCCTAGTATTTTAGGAAGGCTTGTAGAGGGAAAGACATTTGCTGGAAGGTCACACAGCAAGTAGGTTGTGGAGCTGAGTCATAGAGCTGCTCTTGTGCTTTCTCCATTAGCTCCTGCCAATCTGCAGCCCCTGGGTTGGACAGTAGGGGGTGGTGGGAAACTGCAGGAATGAATGGAGGGTACTGGAGAGATGCTGGGTGGATGAATTGGTTGAACCTGCCTGCTACAGAATTTGGGGAGTAGAGCAGGGTGCTTAGAGTCCTAAAACCTGGGTATCAGGCCCATCTCCTCCCCCTTACAAGTCCTTGCTAATGCCCTTGAGACTTGAGTGCCTGTTTGCCTTCTGGCACAAGTTGTCGTGAGGATCAGGGGTGGGCATGCCTAAGAAGGGCAGTGCACCTGCCCATGGTATTGTTGTAGGGCCCTGGTTGGGAGGTGCAGGAGGATGGTATGTTGTGATAAAAGTGAGGTGTGTTGGTAGGGAGGTTGTGAGAGGTGGAAACCAGGGTAGTTGGGGTCCTGGAGGAGCTGTGAATTTAACCTCCCAGGCCTCAGGGACCAGAATTTTCATGTTTTTCTCCATGAATAGCTTGAAATCCTGTATATCTGGGAAGAATTTGGGAAGTCAGCCCCTCCATGTTAGAGAAAATCAAAGCCTCTAGGTAGAGTTCTGCTCTCCCCTCTGCAGAGCACCTGCTGCCACCCCCAGCCTTTCTCTCGTCTGCTCCAAGTGCAAAGGAAGGACTGGACCTTTGAGGTCAGGTCAGGGCTGATCCCTCCCCAGCTGCCTACCAATATCCTCATTACCTTCTCACATTTTCATCTACTCCCCTTTGTGTCATAAATAAACAATTCTATTTAATAAATAATATTCATATAACTGGTTGGCAGTGTTGAGGGAAATACATTTAGACCTACAATTCTGAACAATCCTTTTTTTTTTTTAATTAAGCCCCAGTTTATTCCATAGTTAGGAAAACTGGAAGATAAACCTACTCTTACATACTGTATCTGGAAAGAAGATAGCTTTCTAATCCATTGAAGAGGTTATGAAGGAAGAGGTTAGAAAAAATATATATATATATATGGAATTGAATGCCTGCTTGCCTTCCAGCACAGGTTGTCATGAAGATCAAGGGTGAACATGCCTTATGTATATATAAACTTCATGTCAAGAAACAAAAAGAATTGCAAAGAAGAGCCTGGTAAAATATGAAATAATTATGAGTCAGAAAAACAAAAACAAATGGCCAAAGGGCATGAGGAAATAGTTCCCAAAGAGGAAGTGTGGTTGATAAATGTGAAACAATGTTCAACTTAGAAATAATCTAAGAAATGTAAATAATGTCAGCCTGTGCTTATTAGATAGGCAAAAATAAGTTTATTCAACTTGGCACACATGTGGAAACCATATACTCTTGCATGGTCACCGATAGTGTAAACTGGTACCGCTCTCTAAGAAATCAATTTGGAAATACATAGCAGAGTACACTAATATTCATTGTTCTGCAGTATTTTTCAGGAAAATGATCTGTGCTAATAAAAACCATAAGCAAAAATAAAAATAAAAGCATAAGCCAAAGTGTATTTATTATGGTATTATTTATAATGGTGGGGAAAATGTTGACAACAAGATAAATGTCCAATAGAAAGGATTAGGAAATTAAAATAGTAATTGTGAAATTTGAGTAATTACGTGGGCACTGCTAGGATGTATGAATACATATTAACAGAATATATCAATACGTTAATAGATTCAATTCTGAATGTAAAATTATATCTGTAGCAAGAGGAATACACTTAGGGTACCTCCAAGTATAGTGGAAAGAACATTTGAGTTAGAAATATCTGGGCTGATCCATAAGCCAATAAATTGATCGTGTGTGTGTGTCTGTGTGTGTGCGAGTGTGATCTTAGGTCACTAACTTATCCCTCTTGAGCTAGGTTCCTCATCAGTAGTATACAGATCATAATCCTACTTCAGAGACTATTAGTGAAAGTTAAGAGAGGTTATGCCTATAAATTTAGCATGGTGCCTGAAACAAAAGAAGTTACCCAGTAAGTGGCAGCAGTTATAATAATATAATCACATATAGTCATTAGCATTATATGGAAAAGTAGAACAACATATACCAAAACCAGTTATGATCATATTGGGGTCATGGGAAAGGTTTTTCTAAAGTGTTACGATTAAAAAAACACCTGACAGGCCAGGGATTTAGCTCAGTGGTTCAGGCGCCTGCCTCGCAAGCACAAGGTCCCAAGTTCGATCCCTGGTACCAAAAAAAAAACAAAAAACCACAGGATGGTTTTTACCCGTATATCTGAGCCTCTTCCCTCAGTCTTCCCTACTTCTGTTCCTCACTTGGGACCCTTTCTAGTGTCTTGGCCTGGTTTCTATCATTTGTGCCCACGCAGTAGAGACCTAGAACATCTTCGTCACAAAGGCTCTGTACCTAGCAGGGTGTTATGAATACGACCACTAACAGTATCCTTCTTCTCTGGATAAAACCCCACCTTGATGCATTCAATCTAAATTATTGCAAGTCTTATTTTACCTCTGTAGGTCTTATCAATGATGTTTAGTTTTCAAAAGAAGTCAGTGTTTCCATAGTACTTAACATAGGTTTATTACATTTTACAAATGAAAATTCAAAATTACATTTATCTTTAACAAGTCAGCCATTGTTAAGTAGTAGCCTGTCCTTTTCCTGTTGTCATGTGTTTATTTTAAGGGTAGAGAAGCTCTGCTTATTGTAAAATACATTGTACAGTGTAATTGACCTGGACTTGAACTGAAAAGGAAGCATTATCTCTGTTATTTCAAATACATCACAGGTCAATTTAGAGGATATGAGGATTTCACTAGGTTCATAAATAGTATCTTAAAGCTCTTCTAAATAAAAATAAATGACAAGATTTTCTTTCAGGAGAGGCAGGATTAATTAGTTTTATAATATGTAAGATATTTCAGCACTTATTTGATCCTTCCGTGTTAAATTTTTAAGGTAAACTTTTTGAGAGATTTAAAAAATTATTAGTAGTGTGCATTGTTCTTTATACCACATTTTAGTGTGTCTACTTAAAAATAGTATTTTAACTGGCGCAGTGGCACACATCTA